GCCCCAGTGCTTCCGCCCGCATGCGTCCCCTCCACCCAGTACAGCGCTTCGTGGCCCCAGAGGCAGCTCCACCAACGGCCCCAGCGCTACCGCCCGCATGCGTTCCTCCCCACCCAGTGCAGCGCTCCGTGGCCCCATAGGGAGCTCCACCGAAGAATATATTCACAATCGCGGTTTTCATAACTGCATATGGTTGGGTCCTTCGCCAGGATAATGTTTTTGTCGGTTCGGGGTGGTTTTCCAGCCTCGGGATGCGTTCCAGCAGCTGCGCCTCGGGAAGAGAGGGCCCGGAGCGTGCAGATTCGCTACAGGGAGCCAATCGCCGACCGATCGGCGATGTGTCGCCGATTCAAGTTCGATGCTTCCCCCTCCGAGCTGCCCCCCCTTAACGTTGCCCCTCGCCTTGGGACGAGCGACTTCAAACAGCCGACATTCAGCCTGGGATCCCTCTCTGCCCCTGTGGCCCCGCCTCCTGGGGCCTCGTCTTTGGACCGGCGCTCCTCCGCCAGAGGGAAGAAGGAGGCTCTGCTTGGGCTGAGCGTAAAAGAGGCCCTGCGCCCCAGTCACCTCGAGTGTGCGGCTTTCTCGGGGAGCGCCCGCGGGGGGGGGGCCATGCCCACGCACGCAGCCCGCTGCTGTCGCATCGCGTGCGACGATGGGACAGTCGCGCATCAAATGTCCCTTGTGTCTTAGGTCACTCTCTGCGTGCAGCCGATTGCGTGGAGCGCAACGGTATGCACGGTCGCTGAGGAGGAGGAGGAGGCTCGAAGGAGGAAGAGGTTGAGGAAGAGGAGGAGGAGGAGAAGGAGGAGGAGTGCTCCTTTAGCCTCCTCCCAACCTCCCTCCCCTCGTGTCGCCCTCCTCCTGTCGGTCTTCACTTCCTGCGCCAGGGCCCCCTCCACAGTCTTGTGGCGGCCGAGAGCGGGCCATTCTCGGAATGTTCTCCTCCCTGCCCACAGGGTCAGTGTGCGCAGGGAGGGGGCACGCTGCGTCTCGTGGAGACTTCGAAGCCATCAGCTCTGATCCCTGAGGAGAAGGAGGACGATGAAGAGGATGAGAGTGATGATGATGATGATGATGATGATGATGATGATGATGATGATGATGATGATGCTGCTGCTGATGATGATGATGATGATGGTGATGGTGATGATGATGAGGACGAGAACGATGACGATGACGAGGACGCTGACGATGACGATGATGATGCTGATGCTGCTGATGATGATGATGATGATGTTGATGACGATGCTGATGCTGATGATGGAGATGCTGCTGATGATGATGCTGATGATGATGACGACAATAACGTTGATAATCACGAGGGTAACGATGACGATGACGACGATCAACATGACGACGATGATGGTGATGATGAATATGCTTCTGATGATGATGATGGAGATCATGATGCCGATGATGTTGATGATGAGTATGATTATGCTGCTGATGATGATTCTTGTGATGATGATAATGGTGCTGCTGATGATGATGACGATCTCGATGGTGACGACGATGATAATGATGATGACGCTGCTGCTGATGATGATGATGACGATGACGATGATGATGAGGATGATGGCGATGACGATCGATGACGATCCGGATGACGATGACAACGATGATGATAATGCTGCTGCTGATGATGATGATGATGACGACCACGTTGATGATGACGATTGATGATGATGGTGATGGTGATGATGCTGATGCTGATACTGATCAGGATCAGTATTCGGATGATGCTGATGATGATGACGATGAGTATGACGAGGATGATAATGATGATGCTGATGATGATGATGTTGTTGTTGATGATGATGATGCTGATGATTCTGCTGACGATGACGATGATGGTCATGACGATGACGATGCTGCTGTTGATGATGCTGCTGCTGATGATGACTATGATGATGATTATGATAGTGACGATGACGATGCTGCTGATGATGATGATAATGATGATGATAGGGTGATGATTATGTTGATGATTTTGGTGCTGGTGGTGGTGATGATGATGAGGAGAAGGATCATGAGATGCTGATGATGACGATGATGATGATCCTGATACTGCTAATGCTGATGATGCTGGTAATATTGCTGATGACGCTGCTGCTGATGATGATGACGATGACGATGATCATGATGACGATGATGAGGCTTATGATGATGATGATGATGATGATGATGATGATGATGATGATGATGATTGTGATGATACTGATGATAATGATGAGGATGATGCTGATGATGATGCTGACGATGATAATGCTGATGATGGTGATGATGCTGATGATACTGATGATTACGATGACGAGAACGACGGCGATGACGATGACGATGACGATAACCATGATGATGATGCTGCTGATGACGATGACGATAACCATGATGATGATGCTGCTGATGATGATGATGATGATGATGATGATGGCGATGGTGATGATGATGCTGATGATGCTGATGCTAATGATGATGCTGATGATGCTGATAATGATGC